ACATTTGTATAATTATCATTATGATTTAACATTTGTATAATTATCATTATGATTTAACATTTGTATAATTATCATTATGATTTAACATTTGTATAATTATCATTATGATTTAACATTTGTATAATTATCATTTATATTAAAAAATCATTTGTATAATTATCATTTATATTAAGAAATTAAGAAATCATTTGTATAATTATCATATATATCAAGAAATTAATTTGAATCATTTTATCTTCAAGTAAAAATTAGCTTTGAAAAAATACTTTAGCTATTTTTGTTATCATAAATCGAATAATTTAATGCATTAATTCAAATCAGAGGGATTTAACATTTGTATATCACAAAGAATTATTTACAAAATTGATTAATCGTTTAGTTCTATAACTAAAAAAAAAAAAAAGGAACTTACTGTTGCAAGCACCAAAGTATACGGTAATGTTTTGAATTTTTAATTCATTAACAATCTAAAATTTGCAAACTTCTTGGTAATATTATTTCATGAAGAAATTTTTAACAAACGAATTATTTGTTTTAATTATTTTAGTGAATCATTTTTTTTTTTAGTAAATTATTTTATCGACAGTGTTAATTTTATAAATTTCAGTAATAAATTCAATCAATCGATCATTAAGCAAATAATTTCATCCCACATGATTATCGTCATTTTAATTGATATTCCAAAAGATTTCCTTATCACAGATTACATTTGTCACAAATAGTTTATTAATAAATTTATCAAGAAGTTTGCTATGCTATTGTAGTGATCATTTAAAAAATGATAAACTTACGATAAGAAAATCTTAATAGTTCACTGATAGAGCTGATTTAGGCTATTCCCATTTAATAATTACCATCAGAGATTGTATTTATCACAAGTAGTTTGTTAATTAATTTATCAAAAAATTTGCTATGCTATTATAGTGATCATTTACAAATGATAAACTCATGATAAGAAAATCCTAACAGTTAATTCACTGCGCTGATTTAGGCTACTCCCATTTGATAATTACTGAAATGAGAATTTGTTGTTGTCAAAAATATTTTAGCCATAATTTGCTGAAAAAAAAAGAATTTTCTTAAATTTTTTGATAAAAATTTAAAAATAAACCTCTTTTAAGATATTTAATCCCATGCAATCAATATAAGATATACCGGAACAATCAAGAATAAGATATCTTTGATTCAAGTTATTCACATTTATTGAATCATTCTGCAAATACAAAAAAAAAAAAGAAATTAAAAAAATGACAAATTTTTTTTTTTCTTTGATGCTCTCTGTAATAATTAGGAGTTATGATTAAAAATTTACTGTTAAATATTTCATTTCAAATATTTTAAAGACATTTTTTGTAAATAAATGTAAAAAAAAAAATGTAAAAAAAAAAGGAAAAATTCATCCTGTCGGAAAATCCGAAAATCATAATGCAAATTTCTTGCTGGATTACCGAAATTAAAGTTACGTTCAAACAAAATTTCCATAATATCCAACAAACGGGGTGACGAAATCTTGTAAATAAAATTAAAGCAATGAAAAGGATATAAGCTAACAATGGACAGCGTAAAACAAAAATGTCTCAGTACCTACATAATAGACAGTGCCAAAGACTAGCCATACCATCATGGTACCATACCCGATGGAGCTTACAAAGCTGATCCCTAATCCTTATATATATATATGAAAAAATCCCGAGACAGACAGTTCAGTTTTTACAATCGAGCAGACGATACATCCTCTTCGCTATCCTCCGTGGGCTAAATCACGATATTTTCGCATATCTGCCCACCATTGGACAACAAATTATTCGCTAAATACATTTCCCTTAACATATCTCCAACTCAATGACCTATCAATTAACCAACAGTCAAATTACTGTCCAAGGGAATGACAAGGAATTTGTTAGTTGATCATATTACTTACTTTTTGTATAATTCATCATTGCTTACCAATTCATCGTGTTATATACATATATATTTTATTAACTTTTTTTTTTTTTTGTTGTTAACTAGTAATATTGTGCAAGAACAATATTTCATTCCAAATAAATCTGTATCGCTGAGAAATGAGTTCAACAGAAAAACAATTTCCCAATACATTCAAGTATTTGGGGAAATTCTTTCGTGGGTATATCAGTTAACTCTTATTTAATATAAGTATTGGGTCATTTTGCTATAGCTCTTATAACTCTTATTTAATATAAGTATTGGGTCATTTTGCTATAGCTCTTATAACTCTTATTTAATATAAGTA